TGAACCCACGGTTGGTTCAGCTAACTCGAATTCACACCCTCCAACTCCTCGCGGTACAAAACACCTTGGGACTTTGGTCGAATCACCTTCAGGACGCAGCCCGCGCACCCCTGAAAATCCTACTCAAAACAAGGGATCAGCGCTCAGCGCTCGTGTTACATAAAATTAGAACCGCCTTAGGAAATGCAACGCACTCGGGGGCGCATCAACGTCGATCCCCCGCGCCGTAACTGTACCTTACACCCGATTATCAGCATGCTCTGTCATCCCGCCTTTGACCATCCCATCCCGCTGTTGAGACAAATTTGGGGTGGAGTTGGTGTTCGAACATGCCGACTCGGCACTTCCCGCGAATGGAAGACGTGTTTTCCAAACTTGTTCGAGCGTGCATCGCGGGAGAAAGCAGTAAAGTGGATCGCACCCTTCTGCCGCCGCTCATGTACTCACTTAGTCTGAAGTCAACCGCGCCACTGATGGTTGGAGGTCCACATTGTTATGTAAACATTGTGGCTGTGCTCACCTTTTCATTTTGCTTTCCGTTGTTCCAGCCCTCAGGGCACCGTAACGGTGAATTCTAAGAGGCACAAATGGCCAAATACCCCCTCCGAATGTTTCTGCTTCCTCGGATTTTTCTTCCCCAATGTGTTTTGGGCAAGGAACGAAACCGACGCTTCGGCAGCAGCCGGTCCATCAAAATTCGGCATTTGTATTCTGAACCGATTCTCCCTGGACTTTGTGAGACAAGTGCGGCCTATGAGAAGACTGAAACAATATATGATGCAAACCTGTGGAACAACGCGTCGTGCACATCCTTTTGCGACGCGACAATTTTTTGCTTACATAACAATGCCGACCTGCAATCAATCAGCTCGGCAAAACGACAGACTACAACAAGCGAGGTACGAGCTCATTATGTTGTAGCGTCTGTTTATAAGAGACTAGTACTCACTCGTACTTGCCAAACAACTATCTTGCAATCACGCAATCACGCACGTATCCGACCATCCTCTCATAATTAATCAATTCTCTCCGTTTAGAACACGGACCGCGATCTACCGCCAGATGAGATAAAGCCTAAATGTACTTCCGTCTTCTGTCTTCCGTCATCCAGCTTCCTTCCCCGGAGTCCAGACCCCAGATCCGCGGACGCGCAGAAAGGCAGGTCGAGACTCGCATCTCCTTCTGTGTCTGTGTTATCTGAATTTCCTTCCGTGCTTGTGTCATAATCTCCTTCTTCCATGATTCAGATGCATATGATGGGCACCGGCAATCCAGGGTTATTTTAAACTCCGCTCGGAGCTGATCCGGGCTTAGTAAGCGGTTGCGGAATTGAAGACGATACTTGAGCTCAACCCGTCGGAATACGGGTGTACATTGCTGAGAGAAAATGCTCAGTACTGTGATTCAAGGTCAATGTCCAACTTTGTTTTTTTTAAACTATTTACCTGGGCTCGGGGCCGCACCGTAGCATATAATACACATCATGTATGATAAATCCAGGCTGGACATTGACCAAGTTTTCGCCTTAATAGAGGGACTGTCTACTCACTTTTCGCATTTTGAGGCCAGATTGGCTCAAATTTGGCGTGGAAATGTGAGTGAAATATAGGGGCACGTGATGAATTCACTTGTCTTCCGACACCAATTTATATTAGTTTAGCCCTCAAGCTGCCCTCAAGTGCACTCTAAATCGTTCTGTATGTCAGGAGCAAGAGCTGGAGGGCACATCTGATTTTTTACATGAGGCAAATGCATTATTTTGTAGCGGGTGTACGATTCCATGGCTGTACCAAGCAGATGAACATGGTCCAAGGCCCATAGCATAAACTAGTCTACATTTCAAGTCATTTTGCCTCTTAGACTTGAGGCATATGTTGCACCAGGGGGAGGTAAAGCTCAAAGAGACCCGAAACCGTCGGTTTGATGAGAATACACAAGTACAAACAGCACGCCGTCAAACCGTGTATTGCCGGTGCCCACATATGATTGTCGTTCGTTTGGAATCCCGCCCGAACGCCGCCCGAAAAGGAATTTCAACATTTCAAGATGCCGAGCGTGCCGATGCGGAGACTGCCGAGGCTGGCGTTAAAGTGTTGAGCAACTGATTTCGTTTTCTTTAAAGTACTTGTGCGGCGATATAATCGCTATTCTGTCCCATATTCTGCAACCCACCCCGTCCCTCCCGCTCAAACATCACATACTTTGTTGCTGTACTGAAATAGGTTGCTATCATCAAGTTGATTCCGTCCCGGCGTGCAGACTGCACCATCCTTCAAGTTACTCCATCCCGTCAGGTCGATCCAATTCAAACACTCTCAATCAAGTTAAGACAGCGGACTCTTCATCGCGCCACCGACTCCCTATACCTTTATCTTATCCCTCTCTCCCTCTGCCCTTCCCTTTCCCCTTTCTCCTTTTGTCTAAGAAAATCTTCCCCAACAGTAATTTAGGTTCCGGACTAGTTCAAGTCGATTCTTTGAAGTGTAGCCTCACCCGTGTTTAAACGGATGTGATTACTGGGCTCCTCACTCGTTGTGTGCAAATCAGGTATACTTCTGTGATGGCGACATCCTTTTTCAAGTACGTAATCTTGTCGGTCTCTCAACGTTAACGTTCAACCCTTTCCCCTGAGCAGTTCATGTCGGACTCAAGAGTTATACTGTGGGGTCGGTATTAACAAGAAAAAAGGGCATCTTGGGAGGTTTGAACTGGGTGGGAAGCAAGTGGGAAGCTACAAAAGGTTACTGCCCCCGAGAGGCTCGAACAGTCCTGGCCTTGTTCGGGCCTCTGGGGGTGTCAACTTTTGAGCGGAGGCGTAGTATTTTCCGCGGGAGCGGTCGGCGTGGTCGGTAGTACTTTCCGCGGAGCGGGCCGCGCCAGCGCCAAGAGTGTTTCGCGAAGCGGTCGTTGGCGGGGGTGGGAGCGCCAAGTATCTTCCGCGCAGCAGGGGTGCCGAGAAGCTCGGGGCGCAGGGCGTCAACTTTTGAGCGGAGCGAAAAAGTTGAGGAGCGTGTCAAGTTGAGGGGAGGGGAGCGAGCATGCTCAAAATTGAAAAGGAAGCGATGCTGAAAAGAGTCGAGCAGAGTCGAGCGAGGTTGAAAGAGTCGGCGTGCGAGCGATGCTGAAAGATTTCGGCGTGCTGAAAAGAGTCGGCATGTTGAAAAAGAGTCAAGTGAGGCGGCGTGCGCATGATGCTGAAAGATTTGACGGTGAAAACGATGACGGCATGCCCCCAAAATTTCGCGGTGAGTTGAAAAAAATTGGCACTGACGAGACAGGGGCTGCTCAAAAGTTTTGGCACTGGACAGACACGGGCCGCTCCAAAAAATTGGCGCTGGGCTGCAAAAACTTGGCAGTGAACAGACACGGGCCGCTCAAAGAATTTGGCGCTGTGCTGTAAAAATTTGGCACTGAACAGACACGGGCCGCTCAAAAAACTTTGGCGCCGGGCCGCCCAAAAATTCTTGCTGAAAAAAACAGAAGGGCACTCGCGACGGTCACGTGGGCGCGAAATCCGCGCCGCTCTTGCCGTCCGCTGCCACTGCCGAACCACCGTCACGTCACGCCCAACTCGCCGCCATTGCGAGACAGAGCGTCGCTGCGCGCTCCGCGTCGGTCAACCTCTGCGACCCCAGTTGGGTCCTCCAGCTCGACAATAGTCCCCGCACCGGAATTCATATTCGTCGCGCCCGCGTTAACGTGTCCGCAGCTCCAGCGCTCCTTCTCTGCTTTGCGTCCAACGCAGCCAAGACACGAATCAGCCGTCCTGAGTGAGGCTTTCCAAGCCTTTAACCAACTACGCCGCTCATCCCTCGTTCACTCTCGTGCGCGCTCCCTGGTCCGTCGCTAGACTTTGTCTCGCTCCTGGACACACTTGACGCCTCTTTACTAGTTCCAATCCTCGCGCGCGCGACTTTACGATACACAGCAGCGTTGCCAGTACGTCCTCCAACTTGCCCCAGCTAACGAACCCTCTTACCGCCACGCAGCCAAGTGCGTCCAGATCTTGGGCCGTACGCTGATGCTGGCCTCCCCCTGAATGCGCGTCGACACCCTCGGCGGTCTTCCCTTGCGTCTTCCCCGAATCCGACAAGCTCTTCCCCGTCGACATCCTCGCCAAGGACGCCCAAGCCGACGTCAACGCCGAGCATCTCCTCGTCGGGCCCCGTCGCGTCGCAAGTTCAAAAAGCCCAGACGCGACTCCCCCGACTGCAGTTCGCCTCGCTTCCCCTTGCCGGCGAGGTCCCGACCACTACCTCTTGATCGGTACGTCCCATCCGCGAGTCCTCTTCCCTTTTCTTTCTGAGATCCCGGTATACTAGTTCGGACCGCCGATCTTGATGGACACGTCTTTCCAATATGGGACGAAAAATGCGCACACCGCAGTTCAAGGCATTGCTTGAGCTTCTTGTCAAAGAGATGCCAGTGGATCCGTTGGAAGAAGGGGAGGTGAACGTGGTGCGGAGTAGGAAATCGAGTTCCAAACCCGCACTTCTCGGTGTCGCCGCCGCGGTGGACCACAGATTGTACAAGTCCCTTTTGGCCTGGCTCAAGGCCAATCTCGACGACATCAAGCCCTACAAGCCCTACAAGATGGCGCCTTTGCAGGAGTCGGCGCCTGCGTCTTGATTAATTCTGGTTCTTTGTGTTGTATGCGTACTTTGGTTCTGCGAGTATTGGCAGCAGATTGCTTCCCTCTTGTTGTGTATTCCTACCTTTAGACATTTGTATTCTATAGCTGCACCACCAACACGGTTCCACCCGCCCTTAGACTGTTGAGGCCAATTTCATTCTCGGGACTCGGCGGAAAAAAAAGAATGTTTGTCATTGTTTCCAGGAAGTCTTGTAAAATGAGCCGCCCATGGTCGGCTGGTTTATCGAGGCTAATCAGCGGTTTTGAGAAACGGCATAGGAGAAGTGGATTTGAGTGGGGATTCTGATGATTTCCCGTAAGCTTTGCGTCCGCCACCAGAAACAAAAACAAAAAACAAAAGTATAAGCTGCCCCTGCAAGGTTCGAACTTGCGATCTCACGATGTGATATAGACGACGTGTTTATAACAGTCGTGCGCCTTCACCAACTGGGCCAAGGGGCATGATATATAAGAAAGCGAAGAGGTGGCCAAGTTCTGTGGGATCGGAAAGTGAGAGCGGTGTTGTGTGCTTGACCAACTGCATATACGATGCAGCGAAGAGGCAGGCAAGTTCTGATGTGCCGGAAAGTGAGAGTGGTGTTGTGTGCTTAACCAACTGCAGTCGATATACTAGGCAGTGAAGAGGTGGGCACGTTCTGTTGGATGGGAAAGTGAGAGCAGTGTCGTGCACTTAACCAACTAGTTACCCACATGAGAGGAGCTGACTGCCATCGTGTGCTTGACGAAGTACAATTGAAAGCTGCAGAACTTAGTACTAGGGGTCCCCACCGTAACCGTAATTATGGTTTACGGCTACGGGTTTACGGTCACCGTAGCTGTACCATAAGCCCCTCTGGATGGAATCCGTAATTACGGTTGAATTACGGTCGGGTTGGAATTCAACAAAAAAAAAGTTTGAATGCTCTAGGCGGTGTCGTATAAGTGAGAAACAGTTGAATTCGGGGTTTGATTGTTCACTGACTGTGTTTTAGGCCGGATATTGGAACCGTATGCGAATTACGGTACGGTTTGCGGTCGACCGTAACCGTACCGTAAGGACCAAAAATCCCGATTTTACGGTCCGTATTCTTACGGTCGTAACCGTATACGGTACGGTGGGGACCCCTACTTAGTACCGGTTCCTATCAGGTCATCCAATTGAGGCTGAACCGTACTCAAGGACCCAGGGTGAGATCATCTGAGGTGCTGTACTTTTATCTTGGAGTGTAAGTAACAAACACATCACGATGCGTAAACACCAAATTCAATATATAGTTTGCCTTTGAACACCAACGCGTGCTGCGTTCACAAATTCAAGTGGTCAAAATTTGAACCATAAAGGAAAACAAACCCCATATCCTCTACCCACGCTCGGACACCTACCTTATGGGCTCCACGATCCGTCGCTATAATTGAGAAGTCAAAAATTGAACTGTTGTACCGTCGGTGAACGGCGAATTCAGGCCGCCGTGAATGACATCTGCTTTATCTGATCCCGCCTGAAGTTCCGATTCTCCCGTGAACATAACAATCGCGCCCTGTGCTAGGTTTGGCCTTTATATACCCCTGAGACATCATCCAAATGGCCCTAGGCCAAGACTCATAACATCCGGTTCACAGATAAAATACAAGCCACAATGGTCTGTTTTTCTCCTTGCCCACCTTAATCTCCTTGCAGTAAATGCAGACCCTCTCAACAGGCCTTCTCAAGTCTCTCTTCTCCCCAATCTCCTTGCCACAGTAAATCCCTGCATCAACTTGAAGTTTCAACATGCCGAGCCTGCCGAGCCTCGGCCTCGATCTCCCGATGCGTCGACGAACCGCAGTTACTACCGTACGTACTTGTAGACTTGCGCATACGTCCTGTGCGAACTCACAAAGAACTCAAGAACCCCTCAGTCCCTTGCTCTCAACTCCTTCCAGTGGATTTCTTTCCCCGTCGGCGTCACCTGCAGTGAAAGAGTTGAATCCCGCCCAAGATATCAACATTCTGCTTGCCCCCGCCGATGCGAACGTGTGTCTCGGTCTACTTATAAAGCACTGCAAAGCCCGGAGTTTCAAGTCGGACCCAGACTGGCAACTCCGAATATCTGGAGCAATCCTATCAATGAGCATGCTCAATTCGTAACATTCCCACCCAGGCAGGACCCAAACCGCCGGTCTGAGCTCAGCGAATTGAGGACCTGTCCGGAGCCATCAGACTTCGTACTTCCGTCCCTCCACACGAACATTTCCGGGTGCCCCAGAGAGTAACAAATAGACGTAAAGAATCTTGAATCTACCCTCTTATCCCCATAATCCCTGGCCACGTCGCGACGGTGAAAGGAGTGGGCACAGCCATGTCATTCGGGAAATGCTTGTCGTCGCTTGGCTTCACAGCCATAATTAAATATATCCGACCCGAGGACGGATACCAATGCCATAAGATCCCCGCCCGGGCGCACCTTTCGTACCCAGCGTTGCTGTTTGCGTCACTCAGGCGTAATGTCCCTGGATAAATGTTCAACCTACACAGATACTCGAGTGATGATTGTTGGCAAATCTCAACATTCAACAAGGTCATAATCAAGCCTCGAGAGTGAAGCAAAATTCAGCGGCATCCTTTATGATGCCAACGTCTCGGTAACCTGCCACGTCGTCGAGTCGCGGTTGCACTACTTCAGGTCACTCTTTTTTAAATAACAATTCAACCTAGTACTTACTTGGAGAGATCTAGGTCCACAGGCTCTACTGTGTTTCTAAATTCTTGCCCGTCGGCCGTCGGGGTGCCCGATGACTCCAAACCTCAGTTCACGCTTGATGGACTACAAGATGTTTGACATCTCCCCGTACCTGCCTCACACGCGTGAGCGCGAATCCCGCCCAAATACAGAAATTTCAACATGCCGAACTTGCCGAGCCTCCCGCGAAGGAAGCAACACAGCTGCTATTTTATGTTGGGTGTGTGTGCAGCCTATCTCCTACTGGTTACCTCTCCAAACCGAAGACGGCGAATGCTTGCCTGGTCGGTGTCATGGCCTCGCTTGTCCTCAATATGCAGGATATCGCCCCGCCCCGCGTCAACTTTCAATTTCCCCACACATCCGCGTACCCGACGCGTCAGTGTGGATCCGGCCCAAATCGAACATTCAACACGCCGATCCTGCCGGCTCCCGATGTGTTTGAATTTTCGCGATGGAAGGCATTTGTGTGGGCACACGTACCCTATCCCCTACTGTATCCTCTCCAAAACAAGCGCGGCGAATGCTTGTCGGGTTCTGGCGTCGCTCAAAAGTCAACACTACAATTTGAATTATAGTTCCATCAGATACCAGCGGCCGTACCACGCCGTCGCACGCGCGTGTCGGGTTGGCCGCGGCGTCGAAAATGTACAGGATATATGTACCGAGCTGCTGGTCGGTGGGTGCGCGGGGTTTTTGTTTTTGTTTTGGACCAAGTTGGGGGCGCGACTAATAAAATCACCGGCTTTACTCCTTGAAGTCCGCGAGCATGATTTTTCAGTGTTAATTCCATCAACGCAGACGGGCCAGAGAGAGAAAGAGAAGGGAACAGCTGTAGCTGGCAAGTTCGAAGCAAGAGCTGTATTCACGCGCAGGGCTGTCGAAAGAAAATTGTACAGTATCGCTGGCTCGTTTTCCCGAAGGTGAAAAAAAAAGACTTTACGAGACCGTACACACAGTCTTTCAAGCGGTGTCTTTCTTTCGCCTTCTTTTTCTCCGTGTTTTTTGGTTTCACACCGAGCCTCCCGCGAAGGTCGTCAAAATTTTGCATCCCATCGCGTTTGAATGCCGTGTGCTTCCTGCATGACCGCGCATCCCTGTTAGTTTGCGACAGAATGAAAGAGGAATAAAAATGGAACCGGAGATCTCAAGAAGGAAAAAGTGAATGGGTAGGGCATTTCTGCAAGATGCAAAAACAGGAATCATGGTGCGTCTGCGGTGTTGCTTGATTAGGTCGAACGCTGAACGTCGAATGTGACATTTAGATCACCGTCCTCGCCCTGTCGAGCCCGACCACCCCGAGTTCAACGGCGGCGGGTCGCGCGGACATCGCGTGAATTGAAGTCGACAGGGGACAGCCTGAATACCGCTGGTATCTCTCCCAACATCGTGAGCATGCACGAACACGCATGATGACATGCGCGAGGGACAAATTCTCCTCCCGACTCCTTCCAGCAAACAGACATCGCATCCATTTGCGGCCGACATCACCTCACCTTACGCAAGTCGCCCGCGATCGCCGTCCTTGTCCGTGCCGCGTCGTTGTCACAGCTTCTCTTCTCTCTTTAGCGCTAATAGCGGTATACACGTGTATTCTCTCACCCAATATTCGGACGCCTCACCTCCGGTGCACTACTGCCAGATAATGTCTGACTCCACGCTTGCCTAACCCAGCCCGAGAAATAGCACGACTAGTGCAGGCAGTTGTGAGCCAGAATCTGGGCCAGATCTAAGGAGTGAGTGGGAGAATTAGTGGTGTCCCACTTCGGATCTCTCCTCACCTTCCTGCGCTGCATCGTATAACAATCAATGTATGCAGTTAGATACTGCGCGAGACAGCACGAGACAGCACGCGTTTGCGCGGGCCAGCGCATTTTTATGACCGATGCCGGGAGGCGAGTTTGGAGTTTGAAATAAGTAATGAAAGAGAAGAATCAAGAGAGAAAAGCACAGGAAATTACTCGACGTGGGCGCCGGGCGGTAGTCCTGGACCGATAATCGAACGATGCGAATTTCGGAGTCGACGGTTTAGGAAGCCCGCAGTGGAGAGGGATAGTCTGACGAAAGCAAGTAAGTGCAGGCCGAGGCCCAGTCGGGATTCGAGTTGGCGATTCATCACCCCAACATATATCCAGCGACAGTACGCGCGTGAATTTCGATCTCGCAAAATTGCCGCGTTCCGGCGACGGTGGAGATGGGTGAGATGCGAAGTTATTGAGGCCGGATCCCTGCAACGAGAGGAAATTTCAAGGTTGCCGAGTTGTTGATTGTAAATTCCATTCAGCGAGATACTTAATCATTCCAGATGATGCTACAGTCGAGATTGCGGGACATTGGAGAGCCATCATTTGAGCCGAGCCCAGGTCGATTCTTCAATCGCAGACATTTGAACACCGAGGACCAGTCCAGACCGTGTTGCGTTCGGATGTGCCCGGTCTCTGAAAGATTGTCGACTCGTTTATATTCCTGCATAGGGAAGCTTGTGATTTTGAGCCCCGGGCAGTTCTGTCCTAGTTCTATCCAGGCAGTCCGGATCGAGTCCCAAGGTCGAGTCAACAATCTTCGTGGGCAATACAGTGGGTAAATCCGGTACCGTGGTACTGTGACAGTGCACTGGCACCACTGCCATTGTGCCTGGAATGAAACAACGTCGGACAGAACAGCACAACGAGCGGGCAGGCGGAGAAATCGATGCAAAGGGCTTACTATATTGCGATAAGGATGGATAGCAAGGAAAGCCTG